CTCCGTGGGCGGCGTTGAAACGCTCACCAGAAAAATGTTCACCAACGCGAGATAAATGGCCAAAGCAATGTGCTAGACAGTATGTACTATAAGTGCTAGATGAAAAAAATAGAGAAAGAAATTGCAGACCTCGTGAATTATTGAGTGCCTCGTGGTTCTGGAGGGGAGCGTCTTTGCGTTCATTTTAACAAGCGGTTCTGGAGGTTAGCGTGTATAATCCCGGACGACGCAAAAGCCAACGAAATTCCCCTTCTTCCAAACAAGTGTTATTCGTCCCAGATGCAGGGAAACAGTAAAGTGCACGAAAGAAAAAGATGAAAGAAAGGTAATTTCTCACATTGAACAAATTAAAAGACCTATTGTCTTTTTTTTTATATTCCACAAGAACTGCCGTTTTGTTATTGCTATTTGATTTATCTATGCTTCGGCGGGAAATGATTATACGGTAAGAGACGGCGCATATTTCTCTTCTAGATAACTGCAAATAAAAACTAAAATAAACCGGAAGGTAAAAGTTGCCGCTAGGGCCTATGCTTGTAGGGGGCCGCCTGACGTGATTGATCTCACCGAACATTCCGGCCGGCGGGGTTGAAACAAAACCTTACCCTCGGCTATTTTCTCTCTCTCTCTCGTGTCTTGTTTTACGGAAGAGACCTAAGCCTAATCGGGGCACGACCTTTTCTCCCGTTTACTATCCCATTTTCTTGTTTTCTGTAGTAAAGAAATAACCAAAAATATGGTTGCATTCGCGTAGAATTGATAGATTCCCGGAAAATGCGAAAAATGTGGATGTGCCGCTACAGCTTTCTAAGCTCCTGGAATTGATGGTTCATGGTGCCGTACTGCGCGCAGAGCGCGCCTTGTGTAGAAAATAGGCTGGCCAGTTTTCTTTTTGTCGGGGGGGGGGGGGGGGGGGCGGGGGGGGGCCGGGGGGGGGGGGGGTTAATGCGGAGGTGTTTTTTTATGCTAAAGTTGAGGCTTGGGCGAGTTGGTACGTACTTCGGAATTGATTTTTTTTTTTTTATCTTAGCTGCGAACGGTGACAGAGGCTACTGGCACCACACGCACACAAATACAAAGTAACATCAATATCACGGCCCATTCTTTGAGATGTGTTGGGTAAATTGAAGATAGCAACGGCATAAAATATTTAAAAAATACCGTTACCTTGCAAGTTTAGCACAGCTCGATTGTACTAATTGTCGGGTGGTGTTGGTAGAGCTCGAGCCTATGGTCAGTTGGAGTATAACCTGAAGAACAGCCATATTTTTCACCGACAAAAAGAAAATCAACTTTTTAGCGACAAGAAGCAATCCTTGTCAGTAAAGCTTGCTTTACGAACCTCTTAATTTGTGTCTACAGAGTGACTTTAAATCGTAAATATTACATGAATAGTCTACATACATCTGGTTTTACCTCAACCTCGTCAAATCCGTTTGTTAATGACAACAATGATAGAATAGTTACAACTTTTTTTATTTATTTATTATCTTTAGTTGTATACCTAGGTTGCCTCCGCTAGCTAATAAGACAAAAAAAAATAGATAAGTTTACCACATATTTATGCCAATCTAAAACCAAATCTGCAGGCTCGCAATAAGTCAACCCATTGATGTGGCTCATATACTCATGGTTGTAAAATTTAATTGAACAATTTTTATACATTGTACCTTTCTATTTTCCTTGCTTTTATTTGCTGATAATATGGTGCCTTTTCTTTTTTTAACCTATTAATTATTTTGACTGCGGTTTTATTTTTTAGTAAAGCCGCAGGTCTAACATATAATGTGGTTCATCTCTTGCCTACTTGTCTATACTTGCGTCAACTAACTTCTGAAATAAAGGCCAAGCTATGGGGTACATGTAAGCTAGCACACCTTGAACAGCAATCAAAGTAGTATACGCTCGTTCTTTCTTTCTTACGAGAAGTCATAAAACCTCGTCTCCGATTTAGATGAACAAAATCTAGCAGATTGTTTGATGGAATTATGTTCTGACTAGTAGCCAACATAGCCCAGTTACGTGCTTCAACTGTATATATTGTGGTTATAGATGTAAAAGAAAGCTCCCCGACGTGTCTCACTAGCTTCCTCATCTCTATTTTAGTTGCTATTTTGTTAAAGTGAGCAGTCGATCCACTATACTCTGGAGCGCGCAAAAAATTTATATATACAACTTTCCAAAGTAACCTCAGTGCCTTCCAGTCAGTATCTTCTCTCTTACTGTGTGTTTTTGCTGTTTCAGCGCCAATGTTATGGACGAGTGATATCAAGTCCCAACGGTCCCACAGTCTCAGTCCCAAAGATACGTCCACCATTAATGCCACTAGGGCTTTTCACGCCCTGGAGCACGAACCTCTTCATACTTAGCTTTGTCTCAACTGATTGAAAGGATGACTAACTGATGGAAGGTGTTCCAAGCGCATCGAGATACAGTGTGCATCCAGGGTCTTCTCAGGGTAAGATGTGTGCTACCCAGGTTTGGCGGGTCAACACGCAAGCAACCCAGACTCCTTCTCTTGACTTCCTCGAAACCCATGACTTCACCCAAAGTTGTTCACAGGCATTCAGCGGAATCTGACATAAAGGAATTTCACCTGAAATTTGTACGCTTATATTTATGAGCTTTAAAAAGCTCATTGCCCGGAAGCACAAGTCCTCCTTTGCAAAGCATACCTACAAAAGGAATTATATAAACAAAGGGGGAATGTAAGCGTTTGGTCGGATGAAATCATATTTCACGGCAAAATTTTCTCTCTACGACGTGCACTAACGTCCGAAAAAAAAAAAAAAACTGCAAGAATCTGAGATACTCGTCTTTACCAGCGAAGAAACCGAGAATCCCGTTATTGATAAACGAATTCCACGTTAGAGAACCTATGGGGAGGGGATGAAAAGGGACAGAAGGGAAAGGTTTTAATCTAAGCAGGAGTTAATATTTCGTACTCTACAAGATGGATTCTAATCAAACATAAAATTGAAAATTCCATATTCCTTTCTTCCGCTTCCGTGCATTCCCATTCTTCAAATTAAAATGCTTTGCTTTCTCAGGTGAGTTCTAAAACTTAAGACATGGTACTTTTTCTTACATTTTACCATAAAAAGAAATCTATTTTGCAATAAATTGGTATATTACTGTATATTGACGTTCGATTGAAACTCAACTCACAAGACGCAAGCGAGTGCATAGCGAGGTGAAAGCTACAGGAATTGGACAGTCTTTTTCTCCTAAACTTTCAGTGGTACTTGCAATCATGGGCTTCCGACAACCGAGAAAAGGGATATTGTAAATAAAGGTGATGACACGAAATATAAAAAAATAGATAAACAATAATGAGGAATAGTCTGGAAAGAGTTTATGGTTATTTAGGATATGCGCGAAGAAGCAATCACGTGACAATCCCGTTTTATGAGAATATATAAAAATCCAAATTGCCGAAAGATTTCGTTACTGCTGTTGTTTATTCACTATCAAATAGAGTTAACGAAGTAATCAATGTTTTTTTATATTAAAGAGTGACGAAGTATGCTAACTTATTAATCGAATCCCGGATCTGAATACCATTAATATTTACATAAACAATTTGCGCATAAAGTAAAGTTCGATCATTATTCTCGCACAAATTATTTATTTATTTACAACATTTTGGTAGCATCCGACTTGGTATTTCTCGCTTTGCTCCATCTTCACACTTGCGTAACAATGAAAAGTTGGAAGAGAATTTTATTAACATAATTAGTGAAGCTGATGTAAAACCGGGCATTCGTCGTCGATATTCATGCTTCACAACGTTCGTCCGCAGAGGCCGGCACCGCAGCAGGCACACTACTGGATGCTTACAATTTCGACCGCATGATGGCGACACGGTTCAACCTCAAAGCAAAAAGAGCACCAGCCGCGTTACCAGAAGTTTGTTGGTTCATTTTCAAAATCGACGCTGTCGTTTTTTTTTTTCGACGTTGCTTTTTTAACTAGTTTATCTAGGATTGTAGTTATCAATAAAAAGGTCTCGCTATTGGCGCTGCAGGATGGCGTCCATTACATTGCATGCTTTGTCTAGGTGGCGGAAGCCGCCGCCTGATTAAATGGGTCCAGCCGTATTATATCCACTCGTTCGTTTGGCTAGAGTAAATAAATGCCAAAATATGAGTATCGCTTCTTTTTTTTTTCTTTTTTTTTGCTTTTGCTGTTAAGTTTTTTATTGGCGGAGACGCGTTTACACGCTCGAAATACTTCAAAGCGCTTGCTGCACGCTTACGCTCGTACTTCATAGGTAGCGGATTGCCACCGGCGCACCAATTGCCAACGTTGTCCGAAGTCACTCTCCGCACGCCGCTGCCTCTCCTACAAGAACAAGGGTTGCTTCCTGCAATACTCAAAGAATCTAAATGGGATCGCAATACTCTGCTCCTATAGGATGAAGCAAACAGTTATACTTTTTTTCTGTCTGTTTTTGTCATTGAAGATGCAGTGTTTGGATTGCGTGGTATTACCGTCAACCACTTTTGGACACACCCCTATATCAACGCCGGCAGGGCGGAAAAGAAGGAATGAATAAAGCAGGGGTACTATACATCATTTCACGTTAACCCCAGACGCAGCCGACACATTGAGCTGATGGGATCAATTTGACAGCTTCAAAAGCGCACCTTCAAGGTGTTTCCTCATGTTTACATACGTGTTCTATCATCGCTTAACCAATCACATACAAAAGAGACGCAGAGACATCTGCTTTTGACGCTGCTTGACTGGTTTTATTAGCTCGCAGCATTGGCTGCCTCTGGACTTCGCGTGCTTAGCCCGGTCGCGCAACTATCCTCCACCAAAAACAGCAGTTTTTAAGGAGTGGAATGCACGATGCGGCAACGTTGTGGGAGCTCTTGGCGAGCACCCGTCCAACAAAAACGTACTCAGTTGTGGCCGCCAGCCTTAAAAGAAGGTAAAAGTCTGGAATATTCGCCGCAGCCTTCAATACCAAAATGCTCTCACGCGCCGCCTACCTGTGCTAAGCAGTGGTAGAGACGCTGCCGTGGCGGCCACCGTCGATTGTGGCGCGCTCTGCGTTGCTGTCGCCTGGACCCGCCTCACTTCAAACCCGACCAGGAAACACAGCAAAAGCCGCCGAAGGATGGGCCGCCCAGGCATCGTCTTATCCAAACATGTCGCGCTGACGCGCCGTTCACGAAAGAACACCACAAACACACCGTCACAACGACGAGGCGCCGGAACTCCAACACCGGCCACGATAGTCACACACCGATTCTACACACCCAAACACAAGCACTGTACTAAGCAAGTCGATGGCTCTGTCACAATCACACAGGGGTCGTATGTCACCAGCGTGAGGCGGTGACTTATCCAGGTGCGGAGTTTTTACTGGGAGACATCAAGATCGAATGCGTTCTCATCGAAGGCTGCTGTTTCTTGATGATGGTCAGTTGTTCTTGCTGAGAATTTGCTCGAGAAATCCGACGGGGCAACGTGAGTCAGCGAAATTTTTCGAATGCGCAAGGCACGGGCGAGCACGCCGGTCGGCCGCGAATAACTCCGAAAGTAGGAGCGGTCCTCGATGCTTTCGGAGCAGGCGGAGAGTCTCGTGCGCCGCATCCTTTTGCCCCCTCGCTCGTTCGTCCTCCGCGATCCGTTCACTGGCCGTGCACGAGAGATGAACGTCAACGGGCGGCTTTTCGGCCACCGACGACCGCGCAAGTCCCTTCCTTTGCCTCCTCGTCCCCAAACTGCGATCGATGTTGCGTCGAACGTGCGCGAGGCGGCGCCCCGTATCGCGGTTCTGGAGAGGAGGGGAACGTTACGTCACGTGTGACGTAGTAGGCGACGTCATGTTCCCGGCGGAATCATCCGCGAGGACCGAGCAGGCGAAGCTAGGCAAGGCTTTTTCTGTCAGCGCTAACCGCTGGCTATCCTTAGCCGTACTTATGGTAGTCAAACTCGAAGTAGGGCCATGGTATACATGGCCTTATTTTGCTTCATGCGACATTTCCAGATCAGGCGAAAATACCTTCCCTGAGATACTGGCTTTTTGAGGCATGCGATTTGGTTGCTTGGTTTGGATATAGGTTTGGAGTTTGATGAAACGGAAGCAAGTATTTGTGATTTCAAAAAGCAAGAGAAGAAAAGAAGTTATAAACATTGCTCAACAAACTAAAAAAAAACATTATCCCTTTTTTTTTCTTATGAGCATGGTGATAGCATTCTAGTTTTTCTCAACGTGGTTTGACATATTAAACATTAAAAATAAGCTTGTCAATTTAAATGATGTGATACGTTAATTTCTAGTAGACTGCAAAATTCGAAACCGAAAAGGAAGAAACGGGCAATTTTCTTTGGAAATTCATGTTCACGAAATAACTGCTTCAGAAATTAACCATTATGAATTTAACGCCCTCTGCTTTGTTTATATTTTGAGAAGTTCACGTGCTCCAGGGAGTCTTCGCTTAAATATATAAAAGAGCCCCCAGTTAAAAGGATTCATCGATTTATTAGCCAGCCGGATTCGATTGACTAAATCGTCTGATGTGAAGACTGCAAAAATTGTTAGTCTTTTGCTTCTATTTTCTTTTCCTTTTCTGCTTGGGGGCAAGTTAGCTTTGCTCGCAGTGCAACAACTTCTGTTTTGATGTTGCGTCCAAACCGAACGACCTCGGGCAAAATTCGTCAATTGTTCGCAACATATTTTGTACCGTAAAATCCAAAATTAAAAAAAAAAAGTCAGTGAACGTAAACCCAGATCATCACCGACAAATAGGTTGTTAGCGAGCTCAAGGAGACTATAGATTCAGTGCGAAAATAAAAACGGCAGCGTGTGTATTTTAAACGTCCGGCCTCCAACACGCGCTCCATGCATTCCGCCATGCTTTGCCTGCGCCCGTCTGCTTGACGTGCAGAAGAAGGTTGAATCGTTGTCGGGGTTTAAAAAACTTCAGCTGTAGCTGAAAAAAATGTATCTACTTCCTCCCCTTCTTATCTTATCAGTGCCCATACAACTGGCGCACGATTATTTCACTCCCATAAGCCACATTCAGCCGTGATACCCCCGCTACCGTTTGTAACAGCACTATTTACAATAAATTCGGCAAGCGTTTCCCAAGTATAGAAGTATGATCGGCTTCCAGTTTCAAGATTTCATCCAAATTAATTACGTTTCTGTCTTCTTGAATTTATGTCTCACTTCTCCAGTGTCCCCTGCTGCCCGATATTCAGTTAGTATAACTTGAGTGCCACTCTAGTTTGTATCCTCTCTAAGGCGACTCAATAAGCATTTAAATAAGCCATGAGTGACAAAACGTCACTAGAGCAGCAACAAAAAAACTAGGCTGCATACGTGCTCAGGTTAAGGGCCTCGAACGCTCGTGCAAGCAATTTTACGTTTAGTACAATGACCGGGCCCTGATAACACCCACATATTGGGTGCTTATAAAAACTCAGGAATGTATCGGGAATCGTAGCGCTACCTGTTCAAAATGACATCGTACAGAAGCAAAAAATATTCACGACAGTCAACAATCATTGGCGCTTTGCCCGTCTTCTCCACGTTGCACTGTGCCGCCGACGAGATAGCGTATGAAAAAGAAAAATGATGAATGAGTTCTACTTTGATATTAACTTGTATATTTTCCCCTGTGACTCGCTAGAATAATTTCGGTGTCACTTTGGGAATACGTCCAAATAAGTGCTGACAATCACAGCGGCACCCCGTTATTTCGAGACTTAGGGAGCGGGCAGCAGATTTGCGCCGACGCGGCCATCTATAATCGCCTGGGAGGATCCATACTTGGGATGATGCGCACTTGCGCGACAAAAGTTCCGTCTGAAATAACCGGGTTGCTTGTCGTAAACACTTCTTCTTCGCATTGTTTTTTTCCCGTTTTGTTGTCGGATCGTGAATGTGTCAGATCTTTCTAAAATCCGGTGGTTCAAATTGAAATCGCCGGTTTTGTTTCTCCGTGAGTTGTTAAAACAAAACATGAACGGGTAGTACAACATAAAGGTCTCGCGAAAGAAAGTAAACAAAAACGGCACCATCCCACCAAAAAAAAAAAAAAAAAAAAAAATGGACGCTTCGAAGGCATCGCAGTAGTTTCGCTAGCCCCTTAGGCCTTTTATTATTATACATTTGTTATGCTTCATTGTACCCTCCTCCAGCGATAAGATAAAAATAACAAATAAATGCTCTGCCTTGTGTAGATATCAAAAAAGAAAACAAATATAGAAAGTGATTAACACAAAAGAAATTACTTTTGTTTAAAAAAAATTGGGTTTGAAGAAGGCCGCCGGAATAGACCTATTGCTAAATTACCCAAGCATCAAGGAGAATGCAGGGATTGGTGTTCCACGCGCCACACGCATAAGCCTTCCCCGTTCAAAATATTCGAAGTAAATAACCGAAATAAGAGGTTGATGAACGTGCGTGCAAGATGCCATTTGATTTTGGTATTTGCTTTAGATAAGTTATTACTGCTGACGCCAGCAGGTGCGGCGCGTGGAACACCGATCCCTGCATTCTCATTAATGCTTGGGTAATATAGCAATAGGTCTATTAAATTTTCCGCGGTTTATATATTTTGCACCATTACACTAGACATGCGTTCCTTTCTTCGTGATTGAATGGCGCGGCTTGTTCTCCGGCCGTCACATCTTGCCTCGCTCCCGCCAACGTGCACTAGCTGTATTGCACATTCACAACGAAAATCCCAAGTGCCATTTCCAGACAGACGAACTTTCTGGTGTCTAAACATCCAACATACCTGAAACTTTTGTTTTTGTATAAAAAAAAGTAGAGGGAAGAGAAACCGAAGCAGTGAGAAGTTTTTAATCAGCTAAACAAAGACCCCTAATAATACACAAAAACGTGCAATCTTCCAAACAAACAAATATTCGTTTGGGGTCATAACACACTGTACTGCGCTGCCATTCTTTCATCCGGTAGTTTGTCGGCAGGGCGGTAAATAAAGGCCTACTCAGCCCGAGGTCTCCCTGCCACGTATCTCGCGAATGCGCACCTCCACGCCAAGGTTGTTCATAGATTGCGCTGGACGTGACGAAGGGCGCCAATAGCCGTGTTCCGTTGGTTCGACCCGGGGTCGTCGTAGATGTATCGACTCTTCTCCGCGTACACTTGACCCCTTGTCTGGATGTGCGGCACGTGTTTCTTCAACCGAGTTTTCCTTTCCTAGCAGTCGCTGCTTCACTCCCCTGAATGGATGCAATCGTGCCATAAAATAAATACCCCAGCTAAAGAATATATATATATATATATATATATATATATATATATATATATATATATATATATATATATATATATATATATATATATATATATATACGGCAGACAGACAACCACTCGATTTTGTTTTTGGCGAACAACATTTAGAAATATTTTCTCTGGCATTCAGAAACAACAAATATTGTCTGTAAATGGAAGAGAATGTTCATCTGTCTTTGTCCTTCAAATATTTAAAACTGAAGGATTTAATATCTCCAGGTAGACCGCGGTGATTGCTGGAAAGTCTGTTGGGAAGGAGCTCCAACTGTTGCGCCCCTAGCGACAAAGTTAAGAACTAAACCGAGGTGGACCGACACAAACATGAATTATCTTTCTTTGCGCTTTCGACGCAGCGCTTGACTGACGTCGCCCAATCCTGTGTCAGAATTTTTTCCCGCTAGTGCCTTACTGAAAAAAATTATATGAACTTACTTCTAATATGTTTATTGGACACTTTTTTATAATAGAACTTGTAATTTTATATCAGTTTCATGTGTCGCATGTCAGTTTCACCTAGGCTAGGTGGCGCTAAGTACCGCCCAATTTATGTGCTACAAAAAACCTTTTTTTGCTCACGCCATTGTGTAGATATACGCATACCACTAGCATCACCTGAACATATACATTGAGCAATACACATACACGGCACAACAAACATGTATACAACAGCACACCCGATAACTACTTCCTAGCTATACGTTTCCGCCTTTTATACTGGTCGTCTTGAAGATACGGGTTTCCTCTGTGACCATCTAAGCAATAAATATTATTCCCGATATGTCGATTTATTTTCAGTAATGTCATACCTCTGAAATTATTTTGAGCGGCTCAGGGGATGAATCTCTTAGTAAAAAGAAAACGCTGGTGCCATATTTATTTGAAAGCCAATAAATCAAGCCGCTCCACTGCGGTTCCAAGCCATGTGTCATGCTTTCTCGCGCGGCAAGTCGTATACTAAAAAGACTTATATGAATGTATTTCTGATATGTTTATTGGACTCATTGCAATTTCTAATATGGAAGTTGAATAAGCTATTATTTAAGTCATATATGAACTTGTATGCTGCATATCAGTTGGCATAGGTTTCATATCAGTTTTCATATGTCGCATATCAGTTTTTGGGTATTTCATATCAGTTTTCATGTGTCGGATATCAGTTTTTCGGTGTTTCATATCAGTTTCATATGTCACATATCGTTTTTTTAATAATTCATATCATGTTCTAATGTCACATATCAGTTTTTGGATATTTCATATCAGTTCTTATATAGATTCATATAATTTTTTTTCAGTAGGGTGTTTAACCAATGAAGCTCCAATTGAACACAACTCCTAGCCGAACGCAGACGCCGCATTTTTGTGAACCTGCAGCCCGTGCTCGATCAACAAAAGTGGCGTAAAGAATCCACTCCACTGGCTTGTGTTGGATGAGAACACCAAGCTGTGCAGAAAACAAGCTGGAT